GCATGTGTCCCTTTGAAACAGCACACCTGTGTCCTGTGGATAAATGCCTAGTAGTGCAATTGCTGGGTCATAGGGTAGTTCTATTCTTAGTTTTCTGAGGAACCTCCATACTGTTTTCCAGAGTGGCTGCACCAGTTTGCATTCCCTTTGAGTAATACTAATTTAAATTGTGATATCAAAATAGTATTGACTTTACTCTTAGGACTTGTTTTGAAATTCATGCCCTTTTAAGTCTTAAAACTTTGGTATAGGTAGGATGAATGAAAGACAAACTATAAGAATTTTACAACTGTATTTGACTTGGAATAAGAAGAGTCTGACACACTAGAAGCTTGAGAAAGTTGCATCAATACCATAGTGTAAGAGTAGGGAAGACACCTTCACTGCAACCATACCATTAAGTGAAAACCATTGGCTAGAAATGAGCAGAATCAATGTGAAGGATTGGGGTTATTTTATAATTACCTTGAAATATTAATGTGAGATTCGTTTTGTATATTTTGTGAGATTAACTTTTGGGAAGAAGGCAACAAATACGAGTATTAATTATATTAGGAATTTAGGGTGTGTTTACAACAGACCGACTTGAAAGAGAGAGTTTATGGAGTTAAATTGTGCAAGGCATGGGATTAAGCAGCGTTATTCCTTTGGAATTATCTATTTGAATTACAGTATTGTTTTTTCTAATGCACATAGCAAAAGCTTCTTGTGTGGTCGCTTTGTCTTCAGAAATAGAATATAAGATAAGGGGCTTTTTGACAAAGTTAGCATTTATTAAAACATATGCTAAATATATTAGTACCGTGGTATGTTAATTTGGTTTTATGTTTAAGAAAAAACATTTGTAGTCAAATTAACTGGAGCTGCCTAGATTGTAAAAAAGCCAAATGGATGTCTTTTTGATAGGATTACTAAGATTAAAAGAAATGTTACTGTGCATTGCAAAACCCTAGGAGGGTAGTCTTTTCTAAAGCAATTGCCCAAGGATCTCCATTTCCAGGGATGTGCTATGGACTAGCACTCCATAGAAATTCTGTAACCATGGCAACATGGGTAGTCTTGGATAAACTTAATCAAAGTAATGTCTTGATTAATTTACGTGACTTCTAGGGGTAATATGAAAGAGCCATTCATGTAAAGACTGTGAAAGGCCTAAATATTTATACCAATAGTCCTATGGAGATGCATCAAAGCAGTGTCAAAGACTGAAGAAAAGGTTTCTTAAGAGTTTGCTCAGATCTTCTGATACTTTCTTTGGAATGAAAAGGAATACCTCAGAATGTAAATAAATTTAGATGTCATGAGAAAAAAAACGTGAAGGGGTGTAGGCCAAACACCTGAGCAATTCAAAGAGAACGCAGGACTGTATCTCCTTCAGTGCTTCAGGATGGAACCAGGCTACAAGGGAATTCCAAAGATTCTGAAGAGAACAAAATGGTGATGGTAGAGGAATGTGTAGGCAAAGTAGGACTAGAGCTTTCAATGGGAGACAAGACGAGGAGAGAATTTTATTTTTATGTGAATTTTGTGTTTCCTGTTCTGTGGGTAAGGGTATGTGTGAAGGGCCCCTTGAAAGTGCGCGTTTACCAATACTTTCCCTCTTGCTAGACCAACCGGGACCTGGGTACAACCCCAGGGAAAGTGGACCAGAGTGTACTACCGAGAGCTCTCTGACACTCAGGCCTTGGCTAAGAGAATGTTTAGACG